GCGAATGGAGTCAATGTAGTGCGACATGAGATGGGTTTTCACAAGGCACCAGGAGGATGGCTGCTTTGGAAAAGCAGCCTGCAACTGCTCAACCAGCTTGATGGGAGTGGGAGTTGACAGCATATGCAAGGACATCAGAGTCTACTACAGCATACTGCAGCCTACTTTATTTGATATACTATCATGGTTTATTAGCAACATCCTGTGAAGATAGGTTACTGCAACAGCTTAGGTGCCGTGGCTAGGCATTCATGCAATGCCCAGGGTTGTACATGCATGTTAATAGTACCGGGAGGTCTTCTTCTTGAGATCCCGCAGGGACTGCTCGGTATGCCCCGTTGGCTGGCAACACAAGAGGTACCAGCCAAGATAGGCACGAACAGCATCCATCTGGGGCTGGCAAAGCAGGCCAGCAAAGACAAACACCGTGACCTGGAAATTTCAGGGTTTATCACAGCAGGGGGGCATGAGTAGTTGGGACATGCGTGAGAAGATGAGCAAACGGGTTTCGAGGCGGAATGAATGAAAGCAGGAGAGAGGGTACTGAGATGCAGCTGGGGCTGTGTTGTAGTCTGGAATCCGCATGCCGCTTCTGCATGGTGCATGCTATCGCACAAGATGATCACATGCACCATGGCTTGCACACCTGCAGGACGGCCCTGTGCTCATAGGCCGCGACACATGCTCCAGTCTCGAAGTAGGCGCTCTCTGGCAGGCGCACGTGGTTCAGGCGCGTGCAGTTGCGAATGAGAGACAGGCGCCTGCGCATACACAGCAGTTCAAGGGTAGGCACAAATACAGAAACATGTAAGTAGGAGGAGGAGAGTGCGGATTGGAGTGTTGTTGACAACGAGCAACAAATCTAATCCCCCAAGGTACTGACCTGTCCATTTGCTTCACGCACCGCTTCTTCATCTTGCGCACGACAGCCACAATGTGGCTCATCATGCCCAGGTCCGCCTGGTGCATGATGTCAGGCATGATAACGAGGTAGGGATTGCCCCACACGGTCCCTGGGACATCCCACTTCCAGAGCACACACTGGAAATGGGGATGTGGTGGGGAATGGTATAGAAAGGTATTTGAGAGACTCAGCACACAACATGTGGGACAGTGCAATGGGGTATAGCACATCTCCCCAAGGTTTGAGCAACACGGAGTGCGTAGACTACATAGTCGCCCGGGGAACAGGTCGCTCACCTCAACCGGGTAGGTCGAGTAGGTCTTACATGGGTCGTCCTGGCTTGATGTCTCATTCACGATCCATTGCTGCTGTTCAGGCGTGCGCGGCGTGTTCCGTGCCTTTACAGCAACCAGATGCTCCCGGTGTAGCACAGGGGGTGGGATGGGATGAACAGGTAAGGGAGGTGAGATTATGAGGTCCGTCATGTGACATTCGGATGGCGATGGTTCTGAAGGCATGCAGATTGCATGTTTGCTCACCTTTGCAGCATAGCAGATGCTGCACGGCATCCGCGATCCATGCGAGAGTGTGCAACTGATCTTGCCGCTCTCAGGGTAGTCGCACACCCAGGCGTACAGCAGGGGCCGCACGGTTTGCCAATCACCGAAAGGGTCCCTGAGACGGAACCCGCTGCAAGGAACAGGTATTGTGGCAACAGGAACAGGGATTTCGGCTTTGTGCATCGGCGAAGAGGGACAAGGGGGACTGTTACATATAGAAATAGTGCGCATACTATGACGTTGATTGGGTGACGACATAGCAAGACGGAAATAGAGTACGGACCTTTCCATGCCATCGAGAAGCGGCTACAGCACGGTGATGACGCATCGCTGGAAGAGCATCACCTTCTCCACGGCAGACATTGCAGAAGGGGGGATAGGAAGGAGAGCAAGTAGCATGTGCCCGGCTTTCCCCCATCGCTTGGCCTGGGAGATGTTTGCAAGCGTCATCATTAGCGGCCACGCCTTTTTCCGGCCGTTGTTGCTCATGTGCGTCACATCCGAGTATAGGATGATACCCCCCACGACTTCGGACCATCCAAAGTGTTCCTGCAAAGCACGACAAAGAGGGAAAAGGCACACGGTCAAACACCAACAAGGTAACTTGTCGCCAGGCGGACTAAGCATGCTTCAAAGAACTCCCCACAATCATGACACACTGAAGATGCTCCCTACACATCAGCGCATCAACGGAGGCATGCGCACTCTTCTGGTTTTGGGTGGCAACGGGGTATTTCCATACCTGAGCATCGTTCCACCACGTTCCAGTTTCTGGCATGGTATAGCGACGCTCGCCTGTGTCAGGGTCCTCATCGACACGAGCCTTGAGCTTGAAGCCGGGCGCGTTGTTGGTATGCCCAAACAGTTCGGCAAACGCCTGGCGTACAGTGGCAAGAGCAGGACAGAACCAAACCTTGGTTAGTGGCGTTGAAGGTGGGTCAGATCTCACACAAGCCTTACAGAGGCAACGTTCAACAAGCACCAAATGGATGCGGAATCTGCATTTCACAGCCACGGATCCAGATTCAACTTACCTGCGCAGAGTTCTGGAAGAGAAGGCGCTGTGACGGATGACCGTCAATCTCGAAGGTCGCCACTGACCATCCGCGATTGAGCCCGACCAAGCGCTCCATCTCGAACCGCTCCAGATCCTTGCTGTTCCGGATCTTTGAGATCACAAGAGGCGCAAGGCCGGGCTCCACCATGAGCTGAAGCAGGCCATTGATGTCGATCTCCGCCATTCCCATTCTGCCATTTACGCGCTGCACGAAATGCAGCAGCTTCAACGCAAGCGGATTGAGGGGCGTGGCATTGCTCTACCCAGAGATGCATGTCGGTGGTGCGGCGTGACTCTCTTCAGGGCGGCTCTCCGGATGCTCACTTGTGTCAGAGGCATGTGTTCCGGGAGGCGGTTGATGCTCACTCTCAGGAGGCCCCATGTTCACAGCCGAGGGTGTTGCGTCCCCGTCAGCTTCGGGCACGCGAGGAGGACCATTCACACCGTCGGTGTTGGACGCGTTAGACGCGGTAGGGGAAGTGAGTGCAGCGGGAGCGTCTGATAGAATGTCGTGGATGAACAGCAGAGCGTGTAGACCGGCGGACGATGCAGACGAGGAGGGCCTTGCCACGGCGGAAAGCCTTTGACAAGGGGTCCGCCATGACTTATGGCCGCCATAAACCTGGGCGTTGGGGAACCATCTGTTGCAGAAATCGCATACTACGCCTGGCAAAGAGCCCATGTGTTACGGATCCATTGTAGAGTCGAGAAATGGCCTATGAAGCTACTAGCCGTGATGATACTTGTGAAGGCATTAAGTACACCCTTGAAGAAGGCTGTGACAGCAACACGATCATCGCCAAAGCGCGCACTGTGGTCGGCGGCTTGTATCACTGTACGACTGGCCCTTGACGTTGGCGCTAATGTTTATGACTGGCTAACGATGTCGAGCCGCGTGGTCGTGACAAGGCACGATACAGACAGCCCACAGCACTAGCCGTCTTCCCTACAAAGCGTGTCGCCCCCGTTAAGAGCGACCACGACGTGAGCAAGGGAGAATGCAGTGGATCTTAAGACGGTTGGTCTTGCGTGTGCGTCGCGAGCACGGTGAGAAGGACATGCCTATTGATTCGAGAACTTGTCTTTATGAACCGTGCGTGAGAGTCGAGGGGGATGAGGAAGAGCGGGAAGAGATCCGTTTGGATCTGTGGTTGTGTCGCGAATCGATATAGGGGGGAAAGTGCAATCACGTAGGTGAGTTCAAGAGGCTTCAAACAAACCAGGAAATGCAAATGTACAGTTACATTTTAACAAGACACAAAAGTCAGTGATAACTAGTAAACAGTCATATCCTTAGGCCTGCTCTTGAACAACCCGTACTTGAGCACGATACGGGAAGTACCCAAAAACTCCATGCCCTAACGTATGATTGTTGCGTGGACCGAACACCTAGAGCGTGTGTTCTCTCGAGGTTTAGTGTACCTCTACGCACCGTGCTGAATGAATATGCAAGAATGGATGACAATGTTGTACAATAACACAACGGTTTCAATGTCCGTGCAAGAATGGATGACGATCCATCACCATACGCAAACGGATTCACTATGTCGCGCAACCCACAGGCCTGAACGCTGCATCGTCGCACAGTCTAAACATGGCTGTCGATAACGCATCACTGCTTGTGCGTAGGGCATGTGCTTCATACCACTCCTTCTAAGCACCTTGTTGAATGTCCGTGCAAGAATAGATGATAATCCATCACCATACCACAAATTATTCTCGTTGGTTATTTTTTATCATCGTGTTAGAATGTCGTCCGCTATTGATAAACCGATGTGGCAAAGCCTAAAAGTGCGCAGTACATCTGTGTGACGCGAGAATCACCGATTAACTTACCCCAACCCCATAATAAACCATTTGCAACTAAGTGTTTGATGAAATCTATTGTTGTATGCTTGAATTTGATTTAGCTGCTATGTGCAACACTGTGCGTTCGCGACAACACTGTACTTTGTAGGGATTTTACTAATTTTGCACTTTTGGTTTCACAACCGTTGTACCCTTTGTAGTGATTGATGCGTTGGCAACTGTGATTGGCCGACGCATCTCAAACGATTCCCCCCGCAACACAATCACCAGCCAAGAGGTACTTCAGCCAATGAGCGGCTGAGATCGAGCGGTAGGTGGGTTTATGCTAGGGTGGCTACACGTACACCGTCCGATATAGCCTGATAGGGTTACAGTAATCTCTCTAGTCTCGCAACCCACCCCAACCACCCTCGTGCCCCACCCACCTGCTTCCGTCACTCCCTAGTCCAACACTTTGTTGCTGCTCGCTGTTTGACACACGCCTCTCCGTCGCGGCCATAGCTCTCTGCTTAGTGGCTACTAGTTCAGTTTTAGATGAAGCGGCGATTTTCGGATACAGATAACAGTGATCGACCGTCGATAATCCCATCGTGGGATTCCGTTGCAGTACCCCTTCGAAACTGGCACATCCCTTCCGCGCGATGTGCTAATTTGCTTTCCTACAACAACCATGACTCGTGCAACACGTAACCAAGCAATGGTGGAGGAACAGGCCGGCCGCCGCGTGACAAGGAGGACGTCTCAACAGATAAATAGGGAGAGCGGTGGCGGCGCTAAAAAAACTAATGCGTCCGTCGCGCGTGGCATTGGGCAGAAAAAAGCGGCGCCAAAAAAGGTCGAGCGCGGTCAAGAGGAGTCCGGCAAGAAAGCGGAAGACAAGGGGCCTAAACCAACGCCACGCAAGCGTGTTTCTACAGTGCGCAAAGAAGCAAATGTTGCCTCTGCTGGAACCGAGCCCGGTCCGAGTAACGACGGCAACACTGGCGGCAACAAAGATCCGGGGCGAGGGAGCGTGAGTCTTGCAGTCCCGTCGGCGGAGATAGAGGGATCGGCGACAGGGGGAAACCACGGAGGCGATCCCCGCGCCGAGCATGCCGCAACCAAGGAGTCCGAGGCGGTGGCATCGCAACACCATCTGACGCTGCTCCAGCCGACCGTGGTCGAAGTTTCTGCAGCCGTGCTGGATAAGGACAAGGTGGGGGAGCACGAGTCGGAGGGGCAGGTCGGTGGCTCTCCTCCTTCTGGTGGACGGGGGAGGCGTAGGCAGAGGAGGAGCGATGGGGAGGACGATTATGACACCGCCGTGCCTGGGGACCTCACCACGCGGGCGAAGAGGCGGCAGACGATAGGTAGTGCTGACGACGCCGGAGGCGCGGAAGTTGGGACAACGCGAGGCGCCAAGGAAGCTAGTGGCAAGGCGGCGGTCAAGCATTGCGCCAGAAGGGCCGACCCGCAGCAAGAAAAACATCCGGCGCAAGGAGAGGCAAGAAAGCAGTGACAGGGATGAGGCAGAAACGGGGCGATGAACACCCTTGTGATGCGGAGGAGGAGGAGGATGCGGAGGAAGAGGAGGATGAAGAGGATGCGGAGGAGGATGACGCGGATGATGGGGAGGATGAAAAAGATGAGAATGATGGTGGGGAGGACGAAAAGGAGGAGGAGGAGGAGGAGGAGGAGGAGGAGGAGGAGGAGGAGGAGGAGGAGGAGGAGGAGGAGGAGGAGGAGGTGGTGGTGGAGGAGGAGGAGGAGGAGGAGGAGGAGGAGGAGGAGGAGGAGGAGGAGGAGGAGGAGGAGGAGGAGGATTAGGGTGACGACGAGGAGGAGGATGAGGAGGATGAGGAGGAGGAGGCAGCAGAGGAGGAGGAGGAGGAGGAGGAGGAGGAGGAGGAGGAGGAGGAGGAGGAGGAGGATGTGGCGCCAGTGAAGGGACGGGGCGGGCGTGGCAGACGGGTGAGTGGTACAGGGAAGGTGGGGGGCCGGACTCGCCCTTCCCGAAAACGCGGGGCAGTTAACGCCGCGCGCGGCGAAGCAGCGGGCAAACAGAAGGCGCGTAAGGTGAAGGTCGAAAGTGAAGGGGGTGGTAAAAATCATGGGAGCCAGGGAGCAAAAGGGGATGGAGGAGGAAAGGGTGGCCGCGGCAAAGGGGTTCCAGTGGGTACCGGCAAGAAAGAACCTGCTGGTAAACGTCGCAGCATCCGCCAAAGCACCCCGCGGAAAGGTGGCAACGAGAAGGCGCAGGCTGCCCCAAAACCGAAGGGACAGCAGAAAGGTGAGCTTTGTGGCCAATACAACTGGCGTGGTTGTTGAACCATCTGGTCAACCGTGCCAAATAACACCATTTTTTCACATTGTTTCTCCCCTGCAGGGAAGGAGAGGGTCGACGAATCTACCAAGCAAGGTAAACCCTCTTGTCTCAAACCAGTACAACTCTAAACCCAATTTAGATTCAAACCTTTGATGTTATGCATGCATGTCTGGCCCTGTATTGAAACCGATCGACTCTAATTTTTTTATCCTACTCCCTCTACATCTCAGCCCCTCGCGTTACAGGCATTAGGCCACGCGTAAGCGTGCAACGGATGCAGCTAACAAAGGCTGCCGGAAGAGCGAGCGTTACACCGCTAGCCACAGGAGCACCAAGGTTCTACACACCATACACCAGCCCGAGCAAAGTCGCTGCGACGGCACCCGGCGCGCCAAGAGGAGAGGAATCCGAATCCCCTCCACCAGCCCCCGTCACGCAAACCCCACTCGCCTCACCCTCGTACCCATTTCGGTCGCTACACGCTTCTCCCGTCCGGGGCAGGGCGGTCTCCCCCCTCGCCGGTCCATCGCGCGGGCATCAGGCAGGCACTTATACCAATCCCTTCCCTGAGCTCCCCTTTTCCCGCCAGCGTGATAGTGTGAGGGTACACGGGACTGCTGCAGAAGATGCTGATCCCCTTGGCCAGATGGGGGATTCTTCACACCCTTTTCCTCCGCTCATGGGTGCCCTACGTGATCGTGCGGAGCACGAGCAGTTTGTTACACAGGAGGAGTTCCAGGCGCTGCGGTCTGAGATGTACGCCATGTTTGCACAGCTCAGCCTGCGTCGTGGAGTACCTGCCAGCTATGCCGGCGGGTCGGCAGCCCTGCCTATGGCTGGTACCCCGCCGCCGATGAGCGCCGTGGACAAGGCACGAGTGCTAGTGTTGCAGGAGACAAACCCATTCCCGGTATGTGGCGGGCCAAATGGGGCGGGTTGGGGATGACGTGGCAACCAGGGCGGGGTTGGGGCTGACGTGGCGGTTTCGAAGGCTCCATCTGAGCGGCGCGTGACGAGGCAACGCGTATTAGGTGGGTGGGGGGTGACGTGGCATGGGGTGGGTGGGTGTGACGTGGCAAGTGGCGCGGGTTGTTGGTGGACGTGGCGGATGCAAGTGGGTGTGACGTGGCAAAAGGTGAGGGTTGAGATATGACGTGGCGCTGTGAAAGGGTGGAAGGGAGTGCCAGATGACGGGGCGAGGCGTTTCAGGTGGGTGGGGGGTGACGTGGCTCTTGGTGGGGGGTGTGATGTGGCAAGTAGGGCGGGTTGTTGGCAGATGCAAAAGGGTGTGACGTGGCACGAATGTGAGGGTTGGGGCAGACGTGGCCGGTTGGAATGGTACACAGGAGCGGCGTGTGACAAGGCGACGTGTGTCAGGTGGGTGGGGGGTGACGTGGCATGGGGTGGGAGGGTGTGATGTGGCACGGGGGGCTGGTTGTTGGTGGACGTGGCGGATGCAAGAGGGTGTGACGTGGCGGATGCAGGAGGGTGTGACGTGGCACGTGGGGCTGTTTGGTGGACGTGGTGGATGCAGGAGGGTGTGACGTGGCGGAAGTTGAGGGTTGGGGATGACGTGGTGGATGCAGGTGGGTGTGACGTGGCGGAAGGTGAGTGTTGGGGATGACGTGGCTGTTTAAAAGGGTACACGTGTGCGGCGCATGACGCAGCGAGGCGTTTCAAGTGGGTGGGGGGTGACGTGGCTCTTGGTGGGGGTGTGACGTGGCAAGTAGGGCGGGTTGTTGGCAGATGCAAAAGGGTGTGACGTGGCGGAATGTGAGGGTTGGGGCAGGCATGGCGGTTTGGAATGGTACACGGGAGCGGCGCGTGACAAGGCGACGTATGTCAGGTGGGTGGGGGGTGACGTGGCATGGGGTGGGAGGGTGTGACGTGGCGGATGCAGGAGGATGTGACGTGGCACGTGGGGCTGGTTGTTGGTGGACGTGGCGGATGCAGGAAGGTGTGACGTGGCGGATGCAGGAGGGTGTGATGTGGCACGTGGGGCTGTTTGGTGGACGTGGCGGATGCAGGAGGGTGTGACGTGGCGGAAGGTGAGGGTTGGGGATGACGTGGCGGATGCAGGTGGGTGTGACGTGGCAGGAAGGTGAGTGTTGGGGATGACGTGGCTGTTTAAAAGGGTACACTAGTACGGCGCATGACGCAGCGAGGCGTTTCAGGTGGGTGGGGGGTGACGTGGCTCTTAGTGGGGGTGTGACGTGGCAAGTAGGGCGGGTTGTTGGCGGATGCAAAAGGGTGTGACGTGGCGGAATGTGAGGGTTGGGGCAGACATGGCGGTTTGGAATGGTACACGGGAGCGGTGCATGACAAGGCGACGTGTGTCAGGTGGGTGGGGGGTGACGTGGCATGGGGTGGGAGGGTGTGACGTGGCACGGGGGGCTGGTTGTTGGTGGACGTGGCGGATGCAGGAGGGTGTGACGTGGCACGTGGGGCTGGTTGTTGGTGGACGTGGCGGATGCAGGAGGGTGTGACGTGGCGGATGCAGGAGGGTGTGGCGTGGCACGTGGGGCTGTTTGGTGGATGTGGCGGATGCAGGAGGGTGTGACGTGGCGGAAGGTGAGGGTTGGGGATGACGTGGTGGATGCAGGTGGGTGTGACGTGGCAGAAGGTGAGTGTTGGGGATGACGTGGCTGTTTAAAAGGGTACGCGTGTGCGGCGCATGACGCAGCGAGGCGTTTCAGGTGGGTGGGGGGTGACGTGGCTCTTGGTGGGGGTGTGACGTGGCAAGTAGGGCGGGTTGTTGGCAAATGCAAAAGGGTGTGACGTGGCGGAATGTGAGGGTTGGGGCAGGCATGGCGGTTTGGAATGGTACACGGGAGCGGCGCGTGACAAGGCGACGTATGTCAGGTGGGTGGGGGGTGACGTGGCATGGGGTGGGAGGGTGTGACGTGGCACGGGGGGCTGGTTGTTGGTGGACATGGCGGATGCAGGAGGGTGTGACGTGGCGGATGCAGGAGGGTGTGACGTGGCACGTAGGGCTGGTTGTTGGTGGACGTGGTGGATGCAGGAGGGTGTGACGTGGCGGATGCAGGAGGGTGTGACGTGGCACGTGGGGCTGTTTGGTGGACGTGGCGGATGCAGGAGGGTGTGACGTGGCACGTGGGGCTGTTTGGTGGACGTGGCGGATGCAGGAGGGTGTGACGTGGCGGAAGGTGAGGGTTGGGGATGACGTGGTGGATGCAGGTGGGTGTGACGTGGCGGAAGGTGAGTGTTGGGGATGACGTGGCTGTTTAAAAGGGTACACGTGTGCGGCGCATGACGCAGCGAGGCGTTTCATGTGGGTGGGGGGTGACGTGGCTCTTGGTGGGGGTGTGACGTGGCAAGTAGGGCGGGTTGTTGGCGGATGCAAAAGGGTGTGACGTGGCGGAATGTGAGGGTTGGGGCAGACATGGCGGTTTGGAATGGTACACGGGAGCGGTGCATCACAAGGTGATGTGGCATGGGGTGGGAGGGTGTGACGTGGCACGGGGGGCTGGTTGTTGGTGGACGTGGCGGATGCAGGAGGGTGTGACGTGGCGGATGCAGGAGGGTGTGACGTGGCACGTGGGGCTGGTTGTTGGTGGACGTGGCGGATGCAGGAGGGTGTGACGTGGCGGATGCATGAGGGTGTGGCGTGGCACGTGGGGCTATTTGGTGGATGTGGCGGATGCAGGAGGGTGTGACGTGGCGGAAGGTGAGGGTTGGGGATGACGTGGCGGATGCAGGTGGGTGTGACGTGGCGGAAGGTGAGTGTTGGGGATGACGTGGCTGTTTAAAAGGGTACGCGTGTGCGGCGCATGACGCAGCGAGGCGTTTCAGGTGGGTGGGGGGTGACGTGGCTCTTGGTGGGGGTGTGACGTGGCAAGTAGGGTGGGTTGTTGGCGGATGCAAAAGGGTGTGACGTGGCGGAATGTGAGGGTTGGGGCAGACATGGCAGTTTGGAATGGTACACGGGAGCGGTGCATCACAAGGCGACGTGTGTCAAGTGGGTGGGGGGTGACGTGGCATGGGGTGGGAGGGTGTGACGTGGCACGGGGGGCTGGTTGTTGGTGGACGTGGCGGATGCAGGAGGGTGTGACGTGGCGGATGCAGGAGGGTGTGACGTGGTGGATGCAGGAGGGTGTGACGTGGCAGAAGGTGAGGGTTGGGGATGACGTGGCGGATGCAGGTGGGTGTGACGTGGCGGAAGGTGAGTGTTGGGGATGACGTGGCTGTTTAAAATGTTACACTAGTGCGGCGCATGACGCAGCGAGGCGTTTCAGGTGGGTGGGGGGTGACGTGGCTCTTGGTGGGGGTGTGACGTGGCAAGTAGGGCGGGTTGTTGGCGGATGCAAAAGGGTGTGACGTGGCGGAATGTGAGGGTTGGGGCAGACATGGCGGTTTGGAATGGTACACGGGAGCGGCGCATGACAAGGCGACGTGTGTCAGGTGGGTGGGGGGTGACGTGGCATGGGGTGGGAGGGTGTGATGTGGCACGGGGGGCTGGTTGTTGGTGGACGTGGCGGAT